TAAAAAAAAAAGGATTTTATTTTTGAATTCATAAGAGGATGTGAGCATTGGAAGGAATAAAAAAGTTGGTCAAAATCAACTATTTTGGAGACTTTTGAATCACTATCCTGATACCATGACCACTGGTTGATAGGAACCCCATGAAGGGACATTTCACCTTAGGCAGCAGTGACTCAAAGACGTTCTAATATGTGGAGCACATTATAATACAGCCCCCACTCATTTACTTGAGTTTTGCCCTTTGGGGTGGTGCAGAATTAGCGCAATTACTTTCTGTTACTGCCCTAAAAGTATTCAAAGGTAGCACTGTTATCTAATTTCTTTAAAGATGCAGCTTTTTAAAAAAAGTTTTTTAATATGGTGGAACTGATACTGATGAACTTGGGAGAATAGAAGTCTCTGGGTAGAGATTGGAGTATACACTTTTGATATTATATAAAATAAAATTTAATGGTTAAATTCAGCTAAGGAAATAATAGTTTGCTAAACCTCTCACTATAAATAACAGCAGATGGGACTAGAGGTGGCATTTAATATGGTACAAAAAGCACCAAGCCATGCCAACATTTAACAGACTGCATCTAATTTCATGTATTCTCATTAATTCTAAGCAGAATTTGAAGTACATTTTACAATAGTAGTGATACCCAGATGAATGCTAATCGAATGATTATATTAAAATGTCTTTTCCTTCAGCTTAATACTTTTTATCTAATTCTTAACAAATGCAATGAAAGACTGAGGTACTTTGTGAACTGGAATTGAATGAGTAATGTGGAAATACACCAAATTTCCTTTTTGCCCATGCCAAATGATACTAAGTTAGAGTGCTGTTTTTGGCATATGTATATTTTCTTTGTGACCAGTAATTGAGTTTTTAATCCTTAGCATTGAGATATTATACTTTTGAAAGAGTTGTTTTCTGAAGAGGAAGATTGTAGCCGTGATTTTCAAGCTCAATGTATCAAAAGGGTCCTGCTTTTCATATTAATCAGTCTTGTTACCAAATATTAATATGCAATTAATTACTTTGTTTTACCCCCAAAATTAACTGCACATATTTAAAGTGTTCAGTTTGATAAATTTTGTCATATATATCACTACGCTCAAGATAATAAAAATATCGGTCACCCCCAAAAGTTTCTTTTCAACCATTTGTAGGCCTTTTGCCCATCCACCTGTATTCCCAGGCAATCAGTTGAACTGCTTTCTATCACTAGAGATTGTAGAAATTTATATAAATGGATTCTATAGTGTAGGCTCTTGGTGTGGCTTTTGAGCATTATTTTGAGAGTCATCCATGTTGATGAGTTTATTTTTTATTGTAAGTAGTAATACACTGAATGGCTAGCTATACAGTAGTCCCCCTTATTGTGGTTTCACTTTCTGCTGTTTCAGTTACCCGCGGTCAATCATGTACCCAAAATATTAAATGGAAAATTCTAGCAATAAACAATTTATAACTTTTCAATTGGACTCCATGCTGAGTAGTATGAAGTCTCGTGCCGCCGTGCTCTGTCCTGCCTGGGGAATGAACCATTCCTTTGTCCAAAGTGTTCACACAGTATAAGCTACCTGCCTGTTAGTCACTTAGTAGCCATCCTGGTTATGAGATTGACGGTCGTCGCAGTATTGCAGTGCTGTGTTCAGGTGACCCTTATTTTACTTAATGCCACATTCACATAACTTAGATTACGCATATTGTTATAATTGTTCTATTTTCTTATTAGTTACTGTTGTTAATCTCTTACTGTGCCTGATGTACAAATTAAACTTTATCATAGGTATATATGTATTGGAAAGAACATAGGATATATAGGGTTTGGTACTGTCTGGTTTCAGGTATCCACTGGGAAGGTCTTGGAAGGTAGCCCCCACAGATAAGGGGGGGCTGCTGTATTCACCTGATGATGATATTGGGTTGTTTCCAGTTTGGGGCACTTATAAATAAAGCTGCTATAAACAGTCTTTTGTGGGCATACACTTTCATTTCTCTTAGATACGTACTTAGAAATGGAATGGCTGGGTTGTATGTAAGTATGTGTTTAATTTTTAAAGAAGCTGCCAAACTGTATTGTAGCGTGGTTTTGCCATTTCACATTTTTACCACCAACAATGTAAGAGAGTTTTAGTTGCTCCATACCCTTGCTAACACTTGGATTTTCCTAATGAATAGTGATGCTGGGCATATTTTTGTGTGCTTATTTGCTGTGTGCATATCATTGGTGAAGAGTGTGTTCAGATCATTTGTCCCTGTTTTAAGTTGGGTTTTCCATTATTGAGTTTTGACAGTTCTTTTTATATTCTGGATACAAGTCCACTTTCAGATAGCATGATTTGCAAGTATTTTCTTTGAGAATGTGGCTTTCATTCTATTAACAATGTCCTGCAAATAGTAGAAATTAGTAATTTAAATGAAGTCCTGTTTATCACTTTTGTCTTTTATGTATTATGCTTTTGTGTTGTAGCTAAGAAATCTTAGAGCCAAGGCCACAAAAACTTTCCCCTGAAGTTTTCTTTCTGAAGTTGTATAGCTTTAGGTTTTACTTTTAGGTTAATGATCCATTTTGAGTTAATTTTTATATATGGAATTTTTAATCATTCCAGCTGCATTTGTTGAGAAAGGCAAATACCATATGATCTCACTTATATGTGGAATCTAAAGAACAGAATAAACGAACAAACAAATCAGAAATAGACTCAGACACAGAGAACAAACTGATGGTTGCTTTATGGGAGCGGGGATTCGGGGCTGAGTGAGAAAGGTGAAGGGAATAGAAAGTACAAATTGGTAGTTACAAAACAGTCGTGGGGATGTAAAGTACAGTATGGGGGAATATAGTAAAAAATGTTGTAAAACTGAGTGGTGTCGGATGTGTGCTGGACTTGATGGGGGGATCATTTCATAAGTTATATGGATGCCTTGCCACTGTGCTGTATACCTGAAACTAATATAAAATAGTATTGAATGTCAACTATAATTAAAAAAAATATATATATAGTCACAGGATGTGAAGTATAGCGTAGGGAATATAGTCATTGGTGGTGTAATAGCTATGTATGGTGTTGGATGGGTAGTAGACTTGTTGGGGTTGTCACTTTCTGAGGGGTGTAAATGTCTAATCATGTTGTTTTGTACACCTGAAATTAATAATAATAAAAAAATTTTAAAAAGGCTATCCTTTCCCCACTGTATTGCCTTTGCAGCTTTGTGGAAAATTAGTTGACCAAATACATATAGGGCTAGTTCTGGACTCTCAATTTTGTTTTGTTAATCTGTCTCTTTATGCCAGTACCACGCTATCTTGATTGTCATAACTTTATAAGAAATCTTAAAGTCAGGTAGTATAAGACTTCCAGTATTATTCGTTGAAGTTTTGGCTATTTTAACTCAGGCATTTCCATAAGAATTTTAGAGTCAGCTTGTCAGTTCTATAAAAACTGGGATTTTGATTAGAAATACAATGAATCTGTTGCTCAAATTGAGAATTGACGTAACATCATTGAATCCACTGATCTTTGAACATAGTGTTTGTCTTTGTACATCAATTGATAATTTATTTCTGATTATTTCATATTTCCAGATGACACTGTAAATAATATTTTACATTTCAGTTTTGATCTCTGAACAGTTGAATTGTTTTTGAGTATTGATCTTGTAAATCCTGCAACCTTCCTAAACTCACTTATTAGTTCTAGTTGTCTTAATTTCATTTTCAGATTAATCATAGTGCCCTGGTTCATTTTCAGTTTAGATTTGAAGAAATGTGTAAGCTTAAAAAGATGTAATGGATCAGTACCTTGCAGGTGGGAAGGTGTAGCATTCCCACTGTTTTGTCTTCATTTTTCTTTTAATGAAATACTAATATTCCTCATAAAATGGAACCTTGAAATTTCGAGCTACCATTATGAATTTGTAGGCAATGTCAAGAAAGTAATTGACTCTGAGGGAGGAATTGCTGTTTGTTTTTATGAGATTCTAAGAATTCATTCAAATTATATATTGTAGAGAGAAAACCAAGTGCCTTGGTGATGGTTTGGGTAGGATGAGGGAGAGTATATGGTAGGGACTCTGGGGTTTGAGGCTTTGAGCACTGACTGCATGGACCACAGTGATTTACTGACATGAGGAAGTCTGAGGAAGCAGTGGATTTGGGATTATCGATTCAGCTTGGACATGTTAGATTTTAGGCCTGTTGTTTATTGACTGTGTTAAGTACTTATATGTTTATTTGGAGGCTTGTAAATGAAGAACTATATCTTAGGTTAAAAACAGGCCTGAGATCACGCAGCTGGTCATATGCAGAATTAGAGTTCAAACCTAGGGCCCTCTGACTCCAAAGCCAATGCGGTTATTCCTATGCTATATTGTATCCTCAAGACATAAGCATGCTTGGCTTTGATAGTAGTAGATGTTCCCTGTGAGTTGTTATCAATAAATAGAAGAGTTTGCAAGCTCAGATGCCAGCAGGGTCCAGACAGATGACTGTGAGCTGGATTATATGTAAGAGAGTAATGACATCTGAGGAGAACTGCAGAGCCCACCACCTTCTGAAGCTCCCACAGAGTGTTACCATGTGGGAATGTGGGTCCATGAGTGCCCCATCTTCTGATTTTTTTCAAGGGACCTCAGAAATCCTGATTCTTATGTTAAACCTTCTGTAAATCTAGGCAGCTACTCTTTAATATACTGTGGGGGTCAGCCTGTGGTGCACTAAACAAATGTGTGTGTTGGATTCTGCCCAGTAGGCAACCTTTGGTAAGAGTTACACCTGGTATATGGTGGACAGTACCATAAATTTATATAATGGGAAAAGGGTGGTGACTGTGATTACCACATTACAACCTTTGGCATGCATGTCACTCAGTTTGAACATGGTGCTTTGTGAATCTGGTGTTTTTAAGTCCAGTTTTCAGATGCATCAGTTAATTATATACAGGCAAGAGAGGAACTGCTTTCTGCAGCTTTTTGCCTCCTAATTGTACGCTTTCATTTGCAGGTAGGGCCGTTTGTAAGTGTGTGGACTTCTGAGTGAAACCTCAGACCTAAGTGAGAAGAAACCTTCAAGGAACAACTACTGACAGTGAGTCTGCAGTCATCTCTCTGCATAATATGGGGTGTTTTCAACCCAGAGATAGCTGAATGGGTGGCTCTGTTGACAAGGAGTGGTGAGTCTGAACATCCCCACTGATAACCTAAGTCCTTTCCTTACAAAGAGAATTGTTTCTACATTCTAAGCACTTACTGATTGTTGTTGAATAGTAAGTTAATTTTTGTATGAGAATGACGACAGTCCAGTTGAAGAGAATTCTTTGTCCCTGGCAGCGTATTTCTTGTATGATTGCAGTTTCGCTTTCTTGTTTGGTGAGGCACATCCCTTCTTTGCCTCTATTTTTATTTTTTATTTCTTCTCCAGTCCAAATCATCCCATCCCCCAGGGCCCGTCCTCCTTGGAATAGTCAGCTAACACTCAAGGGATGGTCATGCTAGTTCCCAGCATCCGTTCCGATCTTGGTTATGTTAGGTCTCATTGCCTTTGGAAAGGATTGTTCTAAGAATGGGTATGAGATCCAGTTTTGGCCAATGGGAAATAAAAGGGAAAGGTTATCTCACTTTTGAGAAAGAAGCAAAGAGATGGCCCCTCTTCTCCCTAGAGCTTGTATTATCTGGATGTGGCATCTGTAACTGTAGCCATCTTAGCTACTGGCCGGAAGGTGATGTCCTTACGTAAAGGCCAGAGGCCAGAAAATTGTGGAGCCATAGAACTGGAGCCCATTTGCTATGCCTAGAACCACCCTAATTGTGGATTCCTTATGTGGGATAACAAATTTCCTTATTGTGCTTGCTGTGGAAATCATCCTGATTCATTTGCTTTCTCCCTTTCTGATTATCCACTGTCTCTCAAAGTCCCATGCATTTCTACTTGATTGCGTTCTGTGTTGTATGGTAATGTATGTTTGTGGTTATTGCTAAGTCAAGTGCTATGTTTATATCCTTGCTGTGTCTAACGCTAGTACTATCTTCTTTTTTTTTTTTAAAGATTTTTGTTGGGGAATTGGGGGATGGGAACAGCACTGGGGAATTGGGGAAAGGGGAACCGACAAGTTGCTGTCCTTTTGTTCTTCAGTCTAGTTGTGGAGGACATTGCTTCACTGGCCCAAGCAGGCACCATCATTGCGCTCTTCCCGGGCGAGGCAGATAAGTCGCCGGCTTCTGGACGGCTGCTCACTGCGGCTGCTGGCTGCTCATGCTGGCTGCTGGCTACACACGGTAGCCCATGGCAACCCACTGCCACAGGGGCTGCAGCCTACACCGTCGCCGGCAACTCATGGCAGCCCAGCTCCAGGTTGAGCTGTTGTTCAGCATCTTAGCTGTGGAGGGCAGTGTCACTGGCCCTCATATGTGGGATCCGAACCGGAGCCCTCTGGCATCCCAAGCCAGTTCTTAACCACTGCGCCACTCGGCCGGCCCTTTTTTTTTATTTTATTATTATTTTTTATTATCTGTCCTATATATTTGAGTATTGGCTTTCCATCTAATAAATTTTGCTTTCTTGGTTATAAAAACAATAGCTTACTTTCTGTTTTCTGTGCTAATTATAGAAATGACAGATACGGTAGGGAGAAACATAATCAGGAATAATTTGTTTGGCTTTGGAATGTATATTCACAGAAACTCCCAAAAGTGCATCTCTGCTCAGTTCAGACCTAATTGTGTGTGTGTGGGAGGGGGAGGAGTGAAAGTGGGGTGAGTCTAGTGTCTAATAAGAGCCTTGAGTCTCAGGATGGATTATTCTATTTTAAAGCTCTACGAAACAAAAATCACTTTTTTTTTTTTTTGGCCTTACTCAGGATATCATGAACTCTTCTATCTTTTCTTTAAATTCTGCTATATTATACTCTTGAAAAAGTGGGATAGGAACCTCTTTTTCTTCCTGGAAATCTGTGGTGTTGCTTTCAGTTATGTTAAGGAAAATTATAAACCTGTGTTGTAATCTGGTAACATATTCTGAATCCTTCAAAAAGTGATTTCAATTCAGCGAAGAATGTGCTTTCTTTTTCCTTGATAGGTTGTGCTTAAAACCTGAGGGAATAACTTTTTAAGAAGAAAGTTATATGATGTGCTTGACTCATCAATTTTAATTCAGTAATACCATTATTTACTAATATAAAAGGTTTAAATCACTACGGTCAGCTTTAGTGTGCTTTATTTAACATACATTATGAGGAGTTTGTAGGAATATAACATGTGTATTAACCTAAGGCAGTCTTGGCAGGCATGCGATATAAGCCACATCAATCAGAATTATCTTAGGACATTTGCTAGAAATATTGGGATGAAGGTTCTTACGTTTTCTGCTGAATTTCAGCCTGAAAATGTACAGTCATTAAATTCCTGACAGCGACCTTTTGACCGTAAAAGGAAAGCCAGTTGGATAAGAAGCCATAAGAAAAACCACACCCTGTCAGGTCAGTTGAACTGCTGGATCAAGGCTTCTCTGAAGATAGTATACCTCTCTGGACTTTTATTTAGTTACATGAGCCAATAAGTTTCTTACTTAATCCAGTTGGCTTAGGATTTTATGTTGCATGTATATGAAAACAACCTAACTGATACATTCTTATTGTCACTGTTCAACACTATATAGTGTTAACTCAAGGGACTTACTGAAGCTTGAATTGAGAATTGGGCAAGTATGCGGGTGTCAGATGATGTAGTTCATTCATTGATTTATTCAAGAATTTGAGTATTAAGTACAAGAGCTAAGGTGGTAAACACAAAGTCCATGCTATTGCTTGTGGAGTTTATTATTAATTGGATGAGGCTGACATTTGGGTAATTTACTAGTGAATGTAGGTTCTTACTGAGAAAAGGACTACCTGCCATCTGTAGTGATTAGCTCTTTGGTGGAGACTCCTCGAACCCTTGGCTTCTTTAGGGCTGTAAAACAATTGTGGGGAACCTGGAATATGGCTGAATTAACAATAATGTAAGTTATTATTGATCTTTTTTTTCTAAGGAGGCATTACAAAGGTACAGGACCACAATTCCTTATTCAAAATCTTGGGGTCAGATATGTTTTGGAATTTCAGGATTCTTTGGATTTTAGGAAGGCTAATATGGTATGTTTACTGTATATTTAATATAATACCTCTTTTTACTTATGGAAGGGACAAGTGTGGCTTTCTCTTATTAATACAAATAATAATGCCTTACATTAGTTGAACTGCTAAGTGCCAGGATGTATACTTTTCAGCTTTTATCTTAACAGTTTAATAAATTGTATTAATTTTTACACTTGGGAAAGTTTAGAAACATTAGGTGACTTTATCAAGGGTTATGTAGCTGGGAAGCAGTAGAGGAGATTCTCACTGTGTCTAAATTGTGCTGCACTGACTGTCCCACTCCAGCTCTTCTGTTCACTGTTAATTTAGGGAGATTTCAGTAAGTTTAATCAGCTACCTTAACTTCTTCACTGATATTTCCAGTAGTCCTACATTCGATTCGCTTGACTTTCCTGTGAATGCTGTCCTTCCTGGTAATTAGGCGTGATTGGCTTTATCCTCTCCAGATTTCATTGCTCATGTTAGTCAGAACTTCTAGGACATTGTGATGACAGTGGGCATCTTGTCTTGTCCATTATTTAATGCATCTAATGCTTCACTAAATGCGTATCTTAGTTGGAATGTTTATAATGTTTAACCATTGAACATAAAGCCAGCCTTTTAGTATTCTTTATAAATAAAATGTAAAATATCAATTTACTTCTGTTTTATTAAGAGTTTTAAAAAATTCTATTTTGGGCTGGCCGAGTGGCGCGTTGGTTAAGAGTTGGCTTGGGACACCAGCTCTGAGCAGCAGGGCCCCGGTTCGGATCCCACATGAGGGCCTGTGACGCTGCGCCCTCTACAGCTAAAATGGTGAACAACAGCTCAACCTGGAGCTGGGCTACCATGAGTCGCTGGTGACCGTGTAGGCTGCAGTGGGGCTGGCTGGCAGCGGGCGTGAGCTTTTGTGAGCTGCCGCCCAATGGCCAGTGAGCGACTGCCTCACCCGGAAGAGCACAAAGATAATACCAACATGGGCCAGTGAAGCAACGTCCTCCACAACTAGACTGAAGAACAAAAGGACAGCAACTTGTCTGTTCCCCTTTCCCGATTTCCCAATGCTTTTCCCCTCCTCCAATGAAATCTTTTTTTTTAAAAAAGAAATCTATTTTTACATCTACATAGGCCAGATATTAAAGTGTTAATTGTTGCCATGTCACAATTGCTACAAACTAAAAATTGTTCAGTTATTTCTATCTTCTTATATTGCACTTCAGTTTTCATCTTTGATAGTCTGCAAACTTCTTACCTCTGGTGAATTCATTTTTATGCATTTAAAAGATGTTTATTATACTTTGTAATTTGTTTACTTATATTTATTTTATATATGAATTATTTTAAAAATATTTATGGGCCTAGCATGTAGTAGGAACTCAGTGAGTATATGTTGAAAAAGTTCATTTTTAAAATTATCTGATTAATGGGGCATCTTCATAGCCTATGTTTTGGTGAAAGATAGGAAAATATTAAGTTTAGAGGTGAAAAATATCCAGAAAAAACATTTAGTATCAAAAGTTGCAGTTTCTCGGGCTGGCTGAGTGGCGCATTGGTTAAGAGCTGACTTGGGACGCCAGCTCAGATCAGCAGGGTCCTGGTTTGGATCCCACATGAGGGCCAGTGACACCGCCCTTTACAGCTAAGAGGGTGAACAACAGCTCAACCTGGAGTTGGACTGCCGTGCCGTGAGTCGCCGGCAATGGTGTAGGCTGCAGCCCCTGCTGCAGTGGGTTGCCATGAGCTACCGTGTGTGGCCGGCAGCCAGTGTGAGCTGCCAAGAGCCGCTGTGAGCGGCTGTCTAGAGGCCGGTGACTGATCTGCCTCAGCCGGAAAGAGCACAATGAACACAATACCAACATGGGCCAGTGAAGCAGCGTCCTCCACAACTAGACTAAAGAACAAAAGGACAGCAAGTTGTCTGTTCCCCTTCCCCCCAATTGCCCAACACTGTCCCCCTTCCCTAATTCCCCAATAAAATCTTAAAAAAAAAAAAGTTGTAGTTTCTTGGTTTCATGATCATGCGGCCAATTTCCGATCCTACCGGCTTTCCATTCTGATTTGAT